TCCCAATCTTCAGAATATTTGCCACAACCGTTTCCTGCTGGACTCGCTGTTGACGGTGTTGAAGATGGATATTTTCAAAATGGCTCATGTGCAAATACAAACCGTGAGGACAAACCATGGTGGAAGGTCGACCTTCAAGCTGTCTATCCCATTGGATCTGTCAAGTTGTATAATAGGAAGTGTGACGTAAACAATTGTGGGGGTGGACCCTCCGACATTGTTGAAGGTATTCTAACAATTGATTCACCGATAATGTGAGGGCCCACATAACTTGGTGCTGTTGATTGTTGACAGCGTGAATGGATGTTTGTTTTGCATTATTCTAACCAAAGATGATAACAAAGTGATGCGAAACGATATGGATACATTGGTAAAACATATCGCATAAACAAACGTGCTACTGACTGACGATTTAATGTTGATCTATTAGTTCGTTTGATTTAATTGCCTGTGTCTCATTTTCATAGATCGTCTTTCGAACTTTAAAATTGAAGTAAGCAAAAACGCTGACGACTGGGAGTTATGCGTCTTCTATAGAAATGCAGCACTTGAACACTGCAAGGACGGTTGTCAGATGTTTTACTGCCCAAGTGGAATGAAAGGACGCTATGTTAGGGTTCAGCTGCAAGACACAAATTGGCTCACTCTCTGTGAAGTTGCTGTTTTTCGGCCATCTAGTAATTATTCATATTTATAAATGTACAATTGCATAATTTATTGTCCCGGTCATACACATGTGATAATTCAAATAATATAATTTTAGAAAAGCACAAGTATGACCCGATTTGAAAAAACAGCTGTTATATTTGCAATCCATCAGAAATGAAGTACATAAATAAAGAAGATTAACAAATGCAATCATTTTGTAATGACCTTCGATAGCAAGACGCTACTACAGTCTCAGCTGTAGTGGCTATCCTTTATGGCTCAGGGGTAGAGCGTCTGACTCTGAGAGTGTAAGGTCCTGGGTTCGATTCCCGTACGGGGCGTTGAATTTAGCACATTCTCTTTCGGGTCTAGTATCTGTGTATCTCAGCTGCTAGCCGTGGTTCAGAGGTAGAGCGCCTGACTCTGAGAGCGGAAGGTTCTGGGTTCGATTCCCGTACGGGGCGTTGAATTTAGCACATTCTCTTTCGAGTCTAGTATATGTCTCGGTACACTACAGCTCCCCGACGAGCGTGCCCAAGGGTCGTTACAATTTTATTTCAGAAATAAATAATCTTGCTCTTGGTAAGCCTGCCACGCAATCATCAACTTACCCTTGGTCTGGCATTACTGCTGCAGCAGCCGTTGATGGCAATATAGATGGCGATGCTGAGCATTTCTCCTGTATGAGCACTGATGATGGTGATACAAATCCATGGTGGATAGTAGACCTAGGTTCGTCGAAAAATATTGGATCCGTGGCTCTATTTAATAGGCAGTGTCGTGGAAGTGACAATTGTGGTAGTGATCTAGCGGATGTAGAGGGTATTTAGTTTTATCTTGATATTTTTATATAACTACGGACTATTTCTTGTTACTCGAGTCTCTAGCCAAATTCTTGGCTAGAAGTGTTTCCATCTGGAACACCGTGAACTATTGTAAAATCTTAAGCCGGCGTTCAATGAATTTATGTAATATTCTAAAAATCATTCTGTTAATATTTCCTGAATTGAAATGATAACGGCTTATCTTGTTGATGAGATATTGAACGTTTTCATTTAAAATAGACGTCGTCTCGTTCTCCATTTTGAAAGCATGCCTTTTTTCCGCTATAGCGATTTAGTCAAGATGGCCGCTTGTTGTAAAAATGTCCTTCAGTTTTATTTTGTGAATAAATATCCTGCGAAGTAGACCAATTTATGAAATAAGACTACGTGTAAAGATCAATGAAGGTTAGTTTATTATGTTTACATCAATAAAAATAAGACAGCTCGGCAATTTAAGGCAAATTCAAAACAACAAAGAGTGTCTTATTTATATTGTATGGCCACACTCAGTGGCCATAGAATATGGTAAATTTCTTGAGTTTAAAAGACCATACAGGGTGGTCCAAAAAAAATTGGAACATTTGTTAATTGAACACAGAACCTTTATTTTTCCTCTGAAATGCACCAGAATTTTACTGAGCATAATTCAGTCACTTATCCTTCTGATGTAAAGTTTATAGGTGCAAACCACAAAGTTAATGCATTAAACTAGTCAATGTTTGATATGACCCCTTTTTCTTAAATATACAAGTGTCAATTTTGCCGCTGCTTTTTCAAGATTTCTTTATTTCAAAGCTTTAATGAACATGTTGATTGCTATACACATTATAAAATCATATTTAGTTGACAAGAGGTATTAGCATCTGTGGGTTACTAGAAAACTATTGTGTTGTTGTTAACTTAAGAATACCCAAAATCATTATTTTTATTTAAAAGTAGGAAAAAAGAACATGTAAGGGGTGAGTGATTGCACAACCCATACAGCTGCTAAAGTGACAAAATCATTGTTTCCACTTCTCAGTAAAGGGGAAAGTGACCAGTTATTTACAAGGGTTTATTCAAGACCACCTCTAAGCAGATATAATATATCATTTGTGTTCTGAGAAACTCCTTTATGATATTGATAAACATATATTGATATATTCAATGAATATTATTCATATTAGAACAAGAGAAAGAGGGGGGGGGTCATTTACCAGTCAAAACAGACTGCCCTGGCCTCTTTCTGGAGAAGATTCAATCAGTAATACACCTAACAATAGTCATCAAAATATGCTTGATACCCTTCAAATTGGATAAAAAATGTTGAATATGTTCATATATTTGATCTTCCAAGGCAAACATATAAGTAGTTTGTTCAAGCTGATTTTTTTAATCAAGATGGCTTGGACAAAATCAAACGAACTGCAAGGTGAATGAATCATTTCAAAACTGAGTCCCAGGTTTCAACATGTAATTCAGGAGTAGAGGGGTCATATCAAACATTTTCTAGATAAATGCATTAACTTTGTTGTTTGCTCCTATACACTTTACATCAGATAAATAAGTGACTGAACTATGCTCAGTTAAAGTTTGGTGCATTTTAGAAGAAAAATAAAGGTTTTGCGTTCAATTATCAAATGTTCCAATTTTTTTTGGACCACCCTGTAGATAAGCAGATTAGTAAATGTAGTTCAAACGAAATCATACGAGGGAGGAACTGGACATATAATGTATATAAAGCATATGCACATGTGTTGGACATCGATAATATTCTGTTTCTCAGAAATCTATAGGCCTAAACCAAGCCGCACTATTAAGGGAATAAAACCATGGAGTCTTAGAATGAAACATATACAATTTTAGAGCGACTGAAGAACTTCAAAATTGAAGTGAGTCAAGACGGCTCCAGCTGGGATCTATGCGTTCACTTCACAAGTTCATTGACGTCATGTGGGAAGGATTGGCAGATTTTCCAATGCCCAAATGGTCTGTCTGGACGTTATGTAAGAGTGCACAAACCAGGCTTGTATCTGACCCTCTGTGAAGTCGCTGTATTCGAACCGTGATCCCATACAAGTTTTTGAAATGAGTAGAGACCTGCAAAGCAAATAAAATTGTGAATTTAAATTGACGTTGAATAATAGATTGCTGTCATCAAAACAATTATTTTGTTTTTGTCTCATATATTATATAGGGTGACATACAATATTTAGAGGTTATGTCACCATTTGCATGTATGCCCGGGGTTGTCAGTGATATATGGCCCGACCTTATGTATACATTAACTGTCGAATACATGCCGACTTACATTTATATCCACAGTTTAACTCAAATCATCAATGCTCGAAACGGTTTATCATATAACCTGGTGAGTTTAATGTTTTCTTTTAATCTCACAGGCTGGTATCGAAATATTTGTCCGCTGTGACGGAGCATGCTATTTTTCATAAAAACACTAAGAAAACTTCACGATTTATTTTTTAACTCATATCTTTCGTTATACCATACAAAATTACTTACTCCATGCAATAAATATATCATTTGCGGGGAACTTTCACTTCTGTTTGAAGTCCAATTACGCTGGGAAGAAAAGCTATATCACAAATGATAAAAGAGTCCTGCCGGGGTCGCCATTTGTGACCCATGTAAAGCCAATAGGAAAATATAAAACTGTACCTGCGTATAAAATCAGCAAAACCAACTGTACAAGATTGAAGCCTAAGAAGTTACCACATTGCCAGCCATATCCAGAGTCATGCCAAATATGTACAGCTAATTGCAAAGAAAATATAATTGGCTTGATTGCCTTGAATTCACCTGGTCTTTATATTTTCCTATTGGCTTTACATGGGTCACAAATGGCGACCCCGGCAGGACTCTTTTATCATTTGTGACCCATGTAAAGCCAATAGGAAAATATAAAATTGTACCTGCGTATAAAATCAGCAAAACCAACTGTACAAGATTGAAGCCTAAGAAGTTACCACATTGCCAGCCATATCCAGAGTCATGTCAAATATGTACAGCTAAGGCAAAGAAAAGATAATTGGCTTGATTGCCTTGAATTCACCTGGCTATTGAACTGTACAATAAAATTGACTGGCTTGCTTCCAAAGCATTTAAAGGCTGATGTTTTTAAACCATTAAAGGGTCATGTTATTAAAACATGGGTTACCACCATGTCACAATTCTGTTGAGGTTGAGGAATACCTAGATTTTCTTGAAAGTTTACCTTCAATGGGTAAAGATGTATCTCATACCCAGGATTTAGACAGTGATATTGGTAGGGTCAAATACATCATAAAAAATGATGTGAGTCTTAACTTCTTTCCAAAGGAAAGCAGAACGTCAAAATGTCAAAGCAGTGTTAAGACACAGGGGAAGTCTGATCGTTCAATCAGGTATTCTGTACAAGGTTTCAAAACTTGGTGGTAAAACATATAAAAGGATAGTTCTTCCCCAGGTTCTCCACAATGTTGTATTGAAATCCGTCCATGATGAGATGGGCCATTTTGGTATAGAACGCACATTAAATTTTGTTCAGAAAAGAATGTTTTTTTTATCATCTTTCATATTTATTGTAAGCACAAGTCATTTAGATACAATTACAAGGGGCAAAGCGCTGTAAGCATTAGATGTCCCCTTATATAAATAAACAATAAAGTACAGTATTCATTTTAACCTGGATGTCACCTGTATATGGTAGAATGCCTTGCAATGAAACAAAAGATAGGAGGGCTGCTGATATCCTGGGGGGGGGGGTAGTATGTTGAAAAATGGAAACAGTGGGGAAAAGTTTCAGGGGAACCACATAAACAATTTGATGACTCAACTGAGCTCCAATTGTGGGCTTTGAGCTGGGCTTTTAAAATTAAATCTACCCTGGCTCTATTCAGATAAAGTTCTTGTTGACGAGTTAATTTTAAACAAATAGTTGAAACAACACCAGGGAACAAATTTAATTTAAGTGTTCTTTTAAAAGATGCAATAGTTGGCAAGAGCTTTTGTTCCAAGGGAACAGATCCTGGATCATTCCATAGGTTCATCATTTTGTATATTGGAGACTTATGTGGATAGTGAATAGGGATAGTGAAATCTCGAGATTTCCTTAACAATCTTGCTTGAGGGTTTATGAATGGCCTAAATATATCTGAGATATAAATAGGTGTTAAATCGTTCACGGCTTTGTACATAATTGTTTTAAAGTGGAGGATCCTCCTCTCAGTTAAGGTGGACCAGTTCAAAATGTTAAGTACTTTGGAAGTGCTGGAGCCTGGGAGAGCACCAGAGACTATTAGACCAGCTTGGTACTGGAGACTGTCAAGTCTGTTAAGGTCACTAATAGGAGCACAGTCGTAAAGGATATCACAATAATCAAATAAGGACTGAATATAAGCTGTATAGAGAATATTTAATTGTTTTGATTTTAGTCTACCCTTAAGTGCTTTTAAGGGGTTAAGAGCTGTTTGGATTTTTGCACAGATAGAATTTATATGTGCTGACCCACTTAATTTTTTATCAAAAATGAAGCCTAGGTGTTTATGGATGTCAGTTTTTCAATTTGTTTATCATTTAAGATAACTGGTCGATAGATTGGATTATTTTTCTTAGAAAAGGTCATTTCTCTGCTCTTTTCTGGTTTAAAATCTAGTTTCCACTGTTTAGACCAGGCTTCGATTTTTGTTAGATCATTTTGAATTTGTATATGAGACTGCGGATTGTTTGGGGAAGTAGGTACAAAGAGGGAGGTGTCGTCTGCATAAATAAAACACTCAGAGGTCAGGTTGTCCGGTAAGTCGTTTATATAGAGGAGAAACATCAAAGGTCCGAGAATACTTCCCTGAGGCACAGAACAGTTTATGTAGTTGCTAGGAGAGGTGTCAGAACATTTGCCATTCACAGTTACTTTGACACTCCTATCAGTCAAATAAGATTTAAGAAAAACTAATAAGTTTCCTGAAAATCCATACGCTTTCAACGTTTTTAGAAGAAGGTAATGGGGGACACGGTCAAACGCGGCCGAAATATCCCAAAAAATTGCACGTGTATCATTGCTGTCGCTAAAATTGCGCCAAATTAGGTTTTGGATGGCTAACAGTTGTAACTCATTGCTGTGCCCTTTCAAAAAACCGGACTGGTATTTATACAATAAGTTATTTTCAATTAAATGTTCGTACATCTTAGAGTAGACAATTCGTTCTAATATTTTGGAAGTAATACTGAGAAGAGATATAGGTCTATAATTTCTTATGTCATTCTTATTATTCTTTTTAAATATTGGGCAGATATCCCCTAATTTCCAGTTCTGGGGAAAATTACCTGTGGTCAAAATTTTATGAAAAAGTAAATTAAGTGGCACAGAAATAGTATTCCTGCATAGCTGGAGCATTTTTATTGTAACTCCGTCTGGACCATTTGCTTTTGAGGGGTCAAGATCCTTAATTATAGAGATCATTTCCTGTTGGTCGAAGTCAATGTTCTCTAATTTGTTATTGCATCTGTCAGGAAAATGAATATTATTATTCAATGCATCTGGTTCTAAGTGATACATATTAGAGAAATATTTTTGAAATTCAGTAGCTTTCTCCTGACTGGTCAAACAGGTAGTTCCAGTTAAAGGGTTTTCTATGGTAGGAATAGGCAAGCTAAATTTTTTACCAAAAAACGTTTTTATAAGTTGCCAAAATTTGTCACTTGCATGTGTTTCTCCATTTAGACTTTCTTTTTGATCTGATGTAAATTTTGCTTTGGTTTCTAAAATAAGGTTCTTGACAGCTTCAGTCTGATTCTTATATGCTGTATAATGTTCAGGAAGATTGCTTTTCTTGAATTTAACATAGAGTTTTTTCTTTTTCTGAATCGCATGAGATATACCTCATTGAACCAAGGTCTATCATTCGCTTTAATTCTTTTCATTATGTGAGGGATATGCTTTTTAAAGATGGTAAGAATTGTATCAGTAAATTGATCATTTAAAGTGTTCATTTCATGGTTTTGAGTAAAAAAATTAGCCCAGTTTATTTTTTCAATTTCAAGGTTCAAGGCATCTTTATTTGCAGTATCATATTTCCAAATAAGTTTAAATTGATCTTCCTCACTATTTAATAGTACATCGAGTTGAGTAAAAATTGAACAATGGTCTGATGAGCCTATAGGTTCAATTACAGTCGAAGAATTTATAAGACCTGGGACATTAGTGAATGTGAGATTAATGCAAGTAGCAGATGTTGGTGTGATTCTTGTTGGTTCTTTTATTAACTGGTCAAAATCGTTATCAAAAAATATATCATTTAAAATTTTTCCGTTTCTATCTTCATCCCCATTGAGAAACCACTGTTTACATTTAGCGTTGAAGTCACCATTCAAAATGATTCCATCTGCATTTCGTGATTTTGCCTGTTTTATGTTCATTGTCAAAAGTTTCATAAATTCATCTCTCTCATTTACTGACTGTGAGGGTGAGCGATAAAAAACTCCATACAAAAAGGTTTTATGTTCAATTCTCAGTTCGGCCCACAGGGAGTAATTTGTATTCAAGTCGGGTCTTTCGTTACATAAAATGTTGTTGTTTATATAGATAAGAAATGTACTGGCCTCGAATGATAAATGATGTCACAGATAATGTCAAATTATGTAAGAACTGCATTTTGCGTAAAACAAAGATTCCCAACGCAGTTCCAATGGAGCACCTTTCATCTAACTGTCCAATGGATTTAGTCTGCATTGATTTTTTGACAGTTGACCCTGATTACTCAAATAAAACAAACATTTTGGTGATAACCGATCATTTTACAAGGTTTTCAAAAGCAATTGTCACTAAAACACAAACCGCAAAGACTGTTGCTGATATCCTTTTTAGAGATTTTTTCTTGAATTTTGGTTTGCCCTGTCGTCTCCATTCTGATCGTGGTGCCAATTTAACTGGTAAAATAATCAAAGAATTGTGTAGATTGACAGGTGTCAAAAAGACTTTCTCAACCCCATATCATCCACAAGGGAATGGGCAAACGGAACGTTTTAATCGCACATTGTTGAATATGATCGGTACTTTGGATGATGTCAAGAAATCCAGGTGGTCCCAACATGTAAAGGTCCTATGTCATGCATATAACTGTTCAAAGAATGACTCAACTGGGTTTACTCCATTTGAACTCATGTTTGGTCGTCAACCTATCTTACCTATTGACATTCTTCTAGGAATAAATTCCAGTGAACATTTGGAGTCAATGCACAAATATGTGTCCAATCTAAAGTCTGACCTAAAAACTGCATATGATGTAGTGAATGGGAATGTCAGTAAAAGAAACAAACTCAATAAGGATAGGTATGATAAGAAAGTAAAACAGTTACCACTAGAGCTAATTGATAGGGTCCTTGTCCAAAATGTTGGCTAAAGAGGGAAAAGAAAAGTTGCAAACAAGTGGTCTCCTGACATTTACGTGGTCATCAAACTGTTGAGTAATTCAGTCTTGGTCGTCAAACGCCAAGATGGTAAAGGTGAACAAAGAACACTACACAGAAATATGTTGTTACCATGTGGTTTTTAACCGATTGAGAAAAATGTACAGGAGTGCTACAAACCTCGAAAAAATTCCAAAGGTGTAAAAGAATTAACTACACAACACTCTTCTGACATTTCACGATCTTTATCAAGGAAATCTTCTTGGTTTACCAGTTCAGATTCAGATGTATGTTTGACCAATATAAGGGAACAAGTTCGAGAAACATCATAATCATCAGAATCATCATCTGAGACACCTTCTCCTATCAGCCCAAGACGTTCTCACAGAGTGAGAAGACAACCCGAGAGATTCGGATATGAGTGATGTTCAGTATGTTAATAACCCCCAGTATAGGAAAGTAGGATAAACTCGTACTCAACTGTATATAGTGTATATATTGTATATATTTTTTTAATGTTTTTATGACCTGATTCAGCAATTAGTAATATGATCCACTGCCATGTAAACATATCTTAAGAGACATGAAATGTAATGATATCATGAGGAATTATTCATGAACGTTTTATATGAAACTATATCAGTCATAAATTCTGACCAAAATGAATTATCAGAATTTATCCTATAAAAACTTATCAAAATGTTTTTCTTTGATGAGGATAGACTTCTATTTATCTACCGGTGAATATAAAAATTCACTTGGATATACTAATAAGAAAAATTCCTACTCATTATTTCATGAGGGTGAATAATTATGGATAAGCTACAAGATAAATCTTGATGTTACCAAGATTTCACAAAGTGCTTTAACACATCAAACTGCATGATGATGAGCCATACATTTATATTACTTGTAAATGATGAAAATATTATCATCGTATACATGTTTAATTTTAAAAAGTTTAATAACTGTATCCTCTATTGTAAATGACATATATATACGAGGCCTGATCAGAAAGTAAGTAACCAACTGCTCTCATTTTTTCATATTTCATTTAATTACATTGGAATTTTCACAGATGATGTAGAAAATAATAACCTATTAAACAAGACCAAGGACAATGGGTTAGCGTCAATGCCATTGTTATGGCTGTTGCTATGGTGATGATTGTTTTGGGTAAGCGGGGCACCCTTTTGTAAGCGGCTTTGGAATATGATTTGTAGAATTTTTTACATGGTGTATTCCTCCAAATGACCTAACATTTTTTATGCAAGACTGAATAATTTGTTCTATGTATTATCACAATGGTAACTACATTCAATTGTCTCATTTATAAGTCAACGACACAAAGAAATCAAGGGTATATCTGTCATAATTATGGTCATGATTCAGGCACAGTTTCAATCCAGTCAAATTTTGTTGAAAGGAGATTTTACTGGCATGACGACAATGGTCCACCTCCACAGAGCCAACATTTCCTGAGATACAATAGATTAAGCCTTTTCCATGGCCACACAACTACCCCAGGCTCACTAATCCCCAGACTATTCCCCATGTGACTAAATTCTAAATTCTTGCAAAGATGATGTTATGGAGTGTCCATTTGGACAGCAATAAAGCTATCATTAAAGCTTTCAATGGCAGTTTGCAGTCATTGAATGGTGACATGTTTAGGACAGAGTGAAACATTGCCTCAACTGCATTGACTTTGGTGGTGATTAATTTTAACAATTGTCACCATAGCAACAGCAATAACAATGGAATTGATGCTAACCCATTGTCCTTGGTCTTGTTTAATAGGTTAATATTTTCTACATCATCTGTGAAAATTTCAATGTGATTGAATGAAATATGAAAAAATGAGAGCAATTGGTTACTTACTTTCTGATCGGGCCTCGTATATTA